GTCCGTTAAGATAAAATGATTGCAAAAGATTTCACGACAAGAATGTCAAAGTGATTAAATAATGACAAGCGAATGATTTTTCCTTTTTGAGAAAAATCTTTTTATTCCAAGTAATACTGAGAGAGGTAAAGCGGATAGAAATTGGAGGGATCTAAAAGTACGATCACGAGAGGTGCACTGAGTGCTTAGAACACAGAACGAAAGAGAAAGTAAAGGACTTTATTAAGTGTGCGAGTTCTGATCTTGACGCGTCCATGCTCATATACATATATACACACACACACACACACACACACACACACACGTGTGTGTGTGCGCATACACACACATACATACGCGCGATGTTACTATTACGTTATTTAAATTAACACGTTAACGCTAGTATGATAATCTTTTGTTTATTTAGTTTTTAAGCGTAATAGTTATTATACCATTAGTTCTTCATCCTTTGTGTATGCGTGTACATATGTATGTATATATACACATACATATATATAGATATGTATGTACATATATATGCGCAAATCTCAATAAAAAGGTAATAAAGAAAAGAAAAAAGCCATCAAAGTGTGCAGCCTCCCATTTCATTACCACTGCCATTGCGATTTACATAATGTACATGATGATAATTATATAATGACAAATAAACAATGTATAATATATCGATCTTGTTATTGTTTCTATACGCATGTTCTTGTTCTTGATTGCGATTGATTGAGAAGGAGGAAAAAAGGAAATTAAATAGACTGCGGTTGTTGCTTTTGCAGTTTATTTGCAATTTGTTCATATAATTGGTAACTGATTTCGGATATAACTAATACTAGAAACCTAAACAACGTATGAAACTTTATACATATCTAATTATCTTAGTAGTGCTAAGGCGACTATTTACAAGTAAACGCATTGAGCCGTTTTTCGCGATGTGTAGCACAGGTGTCGGGAAAGTTATACACATGGATTCCGTTACCTGTATGCATATTGTACACATTTTTCAGAAATGTGGCCCAGGCGTCCGAAGAAGGTTTGGATCTGTCTGTGCGTTTGCGTTCAGACTTTGCCACGGAATTGTCTCTACCCACATAGTGTTTCCTCTGCTTTTTCCAACTTTCTTTTGTTAATCGTACTTTCTTTTTCTCAAATGTTAAAAATACAAATGATCAAAAATAACATTGTTGATAATAATGGCTGGATTGTACGGCAAAATTTTCAGTAGCGAATAGTACATACATGTCTTCAAAAAACAATCTCTTAAGAGAAAAACTTGATACACGTACATACGTCAGATGTTTCTCATGATAAAAGTAAAAATTTGCATACATGCGAAAAAAGACTCTTCAAACTTGGAACAAGATTACGAGTCGATGGCAGAAGTGACATGTATATGGGAGACAAATCATTCCGAAACATTATCCAATTCCTTTTAGCACTTTTGTGAGGGATAAATAAATTAGACAAAAAAAAGAGGATTGCATGCTATGCTTGCTGATAGACCAACGAAATGTGATTGCGACACACTGATATCGATAATCATAATAAATCAGCAAGTTTTTCTTCGTGCGCTACTTTAAAGGATAATACAATCGTTGCAACTTGTATCATTGCGACAGGACATTGTGGAAGAATATTGCAAAGTACCGCGTTCATCAATTTCAACATGTTTCGTGACATTAGACAATTTTATAACACAAACATACGTATAAAAAAAGATATAATATGATTATGCGGCACGGAGAAATTTTTCAAACATTGAAACGCGGCAATTGTAAGATAAAAATCGCCGATGAAAATTATTGTGAAAAAACGGATTAATAAATATATCAGATATCAAGACATTGCACAGATTGCACTATACAAAATCCGTCAAAAGCTCCTGAAGAACTCGTAAAGATTTTTGGCCGCAATCTTCAAACAATTGTACGATATATATTATACATATAATCGGAGCGTTAACGTCATTCGATGCGTCTACATTCTCAAAGAAACTGTATAATATATAACGATCTTTCCGTTCTTTGCGTAATAAAGTAGTTAAGTTATGTTATCAACAATATCCAGTAAATAAGAGTTTCTTAAATGTTAAAACGCATTGGATGGCATTAATGCTTTGTATGTACACAGTTTGTGTGTACAAAGTTTACAAATAATATAGACATTTTCTTAATATACATAAAACTAAATGTTCAATTTAGATTTAAAAAAATTTTAGATTAAAAAAAATTCTTTTAACACCAAAAAAAAATTAACGATCATTGAATTCAAAATGCTTCATTTAATAATAAAATATTTTTGCGCGTTAAATACACAATTTTTTTTAATAAAATCGATAGTCCCTTTTCGGCCAACTTTTGTTGATCGCCGCATTGATTCTCCTTCGTCAGACACTATTGCACTAAATGCATTGTTCTAAGGAAAGGAGAAAAATATAATTTGGCGATAAATAACGATCGAATGTACGGCCACCGAAAGACAAATTTATGACGCGCTCATTATAATATGCTAAAAAAAAATTCTCCAAGGACATAAATTTGCATTATCGTCTGCGGAAAGTAGGAAATTGGAATTTTCCTCTCCCATATCTGAATTTTGTCATTGATTCTATATAATAAGATTAGTGAAAACTAAATTTTGTAATTTTTCTGTCTCCAACTTTCCAATAATATATGTATATATATATATATATACACATATATATCTATAT